CCCCTCATTGGCTTTGCACACGACAAAGCTGCACCGCTCTTGTCGTCTTCTCGTTAGTCGCTCATGTTCCTCATTCGGGATTGGAGTTTCCCCTACGAGCACGACTACGGCCTGGAGGGAGGCGACGCCTTCCTGAGCAAGCGACTTCAGGTGAGGCCCGCCCGATACCGCGACCCCGACGACGACGAGCTTTCTGGCTCAATGGCGAGCGAGAGAGGCGCCGCGGGCGTCCGGACCGCATAGAGCGGAAGCCGGGCCAAGCGTTAGCTCGTCCGCCGGCCGCATCGCGCTCGCAAACGTTTCTTCTTGCCGCTTTTGTGCTGCCGATGGACCCGCGAGACACGTTCAACAGACGCTCAACGCGAGCATCGTCGTCGCGTTTCGCTCGGCTCGGCGCAACCCCGCGTCGAGCCTCCCCGTCACGCTGACGTCGTCTCGCGATCGCCCGCCCGCGACCTCCCGGCCCGGACGAGCGCGTCTTTGCCGACTCGGATGGCGAAATGTTCCCGACGTGACGGGCGCGCGGCCGTGCGCCCCCGCAGGTGAAGCAGAACCAGCACGAGGAGCTGCAGAACGTCCGCAAGCACATCCGCTCGTGCTTCTCCAACATCGGCTGCTTCCTGCTGCCCCACCCGGGCCTCAAGGTGTCCACCAACCCTCGCTTTGATGGCCGGCTACGAGGTAACGTGGCTCAAATGCGCGTCGCCGTGTGCGCCGGAAGGACCCGAGCGGCAGGTTTTTGGTTTTTTGGGGGTTTTTTGTTTGCGTTTCAGACATCGACGGGGACTTTAAGCGGGAGCTGTCGCGGCTGGTGCCTCTCCTCCTGGCCCCCGAACGGCTGGTGGTCAAAGAGATCGGCGGCAACAAAGTCACGTGTCGCGATCTCGTGGAGTACTTCAAGGTAGGCCTTTTCCGCGGACGCCGCGCAAAAGTCACGAATGGGCCGCTCGGGCTAATATTGAACATCCCGTGACGTCCCCAAGGCGTACATCAAGATCTATCAAGGTGAAGAGCTGCCTCATCCAAAGTCCATGTTGCAGGTTGGCCGTGCATGTTTTTTTTTTTTTTTTTCACCTCCCGCCTGTCACGCCGCCCCGGAGACATTCCCTATCGCAATGTTTGTCTGTTCGCCGTTTCCCAGGCGACGGCAGAGGCAAACAACCTGACCGCCGTCGCGGGAGCCAAAGACATGTACAGCAAGAACATGGAGCAGGTCAGCACGTCGGGCGCGGGCGCGGCCCCCTTCAAAACAAAACGCCATCGGGTCAATGCCAAATGCCCAAACGGTTTTTCAAACTCGTCGGCCGGGCCGCCAAATTTGTCAGTGAAGCGCGTGCTTCGGACTTGCCGTCTCTTGAGCGGAAAGTACGACAACTTTGCAAAATTCCAGCAAACCAGCGCGGCGTAATCGGATGGCACCGAGTCATCGATCGCCGTTGCGAACGCGTCTCTGGCTTCGTGGCACTTTTCACGTGGCAGGAAACAATCACAAGTCAACACCCTTTCCAAACGGCAGCCTTCGCCATTCGCAAGTTGCGTTCTTCCGACGGCGCGACGTCGATTTCCGGTCAATCCGTCACTCCCCCTCCCCCTCCCCTCCTCCGCTGTGGGATTTCAGGTGTGCGGCGGCGACAAGCCCTACATGGCCCCCGCCGACCTGGAGCGCCGCCACGACGAGTTCCGCGAGCACTCGGTGCGCTACTTCCGCTCGGTGAAGAAGATGGGCGGCGCCGAGTTCTGCCAGCGCTACCAGAGCCGGCTGGAGGCCGAGCTGGACCGGGCCTTCGGCAACTTCTGCAAGCACAACGACGGCAAGAACATCTTCTACGCCGCGCGCACGCCCGCCACGCTCTTCGCCGTCATGTTCGCCGCCTACGTGGCGTCGGGCGTGACGGGCTTCGTGGGCCTGAGCGCGCTGGCGGCGCTGGCCAACCTGCTGATGGGCCTGGCGCTCTTGGCGCTCTGCGCGTGGGCGTACGTCAAGTACTCGGGCGAGTTCCGCGAGGTGGGCGCCGTCATCGACCTGGCGGCCGAGACGCTGTGGGAACAGGTCAGTTGATCCGCGCCTTTCGGCCTTTCCCTCTGCCCGTACGCCGTCGTGCGTGCGGACGCCTGTAATTGTTGTCCGCGTTCCTTTCTGTCTTCCGGTCACTCGCTATTTGTTTCAGGGCGTACTCCCCCGAAAAAAGCAAAACAAACCAAAGCATTCCAATTCGACACCGTCGTGGGCACACGCGCGCTCGCAATGTCTGAAACGATGACTGCGGTCGCTCCTCTTGCGGCGCCATTGGGCGTGGACCGACGCGCGTTTCTTGAGCCATTTCTTAGGAAATCGCAATGTCGTGTACAAGTCAAGACAACTTGATGGTCAAATGCGCGTTTCTTCCCTCTCAACAAGACAACAAGAGGAGCCGCTGCGGGTGCCCGCGCCGCCGTCAAAAGAACAGTGAACAAAAAATGCCCAAATAATCCAACGCAACACGTAAGGCACAGACAGTCGTGCAATCCGAAGCGCTTTTCCCGCATCCGCTTTGTTGTTTGAAGCAGTTCTCGATGAAAGACGAGCGAATCACAAAACACGACCGTCGGTGCTCACTGTAAACAAAGATGAGAAACAATCCGTGCATAAAAAAGGGGGTGGGGGGAGTACGCCCCACAGAAGCAAACGTTTGACCGCCAACGACCCTCCTCGTCCTCATCCGGCCTGCACTTTTTTTTTTTTTTTTTTCTTCCTCCTGCCCGTGACTTGCCATTTTCTTCCTCTTTCATTTGCGCTGATCCTTTTGGATCTCTCTTCCGGTTCTGGCGGGTAACTGCCGCTCTTCCTCCTCGCTGTGCTCCTCAGGTTTTTTCCAAACTTTGCGACCACGTGACCAGGGGCGCGGCGCGGCCCGCCGCTCTTCTGGCGTTGGCGGCGCCGGCGGCGCTCTCGCCCCCCAACAACAACAACTACCGCCAAAGGAAGAGCCGCTCAGACCGCCCGCGCGTTGTCGCGTCCGCACTTTTAGCCGTTTGTTCACACGCTGGACTCTGTGGCCACGCCCACGACAGGATCTCACGGTTGCTATTGGTCGTCTTCTTACCATGTCTTTTTTAAAAATGATTATTATTTTTCTTTTTAAGGAGACCTTTTCAGTTGGCTTCAGTTTTATACTTTGGAGGTGTTTTGATGTTGTGCATGCTCAACGACCCTTCCTTTTACTCTTCTCTTTCTAATTTTACATTTGAGCCTTTTTCCCGCTTTCCCAAACCTAATTTGACACCATCTATAAATGTGTGTGTGTGTGTATGAATAGGTAAAATTGTATCTTAGAAAAAAACAGGATAGTATAAATGTAATAAACACAACACATAGGTACATTCGTATTAAAAAAAATCTAGATGTATTTTTTAAAATTGTATATACATTTAAATGTTTTTGAAAATACAACAAAGGGGTGAAATTTGTATTTAAAATAGATGTTTTTTTCTTTAGTATGTAGTATATAATTTAAAATATCGCTTGTCCGTAAAAATAGTCAGGTCAATGTATATTTGAAACGTATGGTAATTGGCAGCGGGAGGTCTATTTTTAGGTGCTAACATTTGTCCTTCGCATTGTGTCCTTTTTAAAATTGGATCTGAATTTGTTTTCAAGTACAGCGTGTTGGTGGAAATGTTCTAAAGGTCAAATTCAATAAGCGCCACGCTGGCCGAGGGGGGTTAGCACATCCGTCTTAAGTGCATGTCGCTTTTATATGTTGTCGGTACAAAGTTCAAGTCTCCAACCATTCACAGTATTTAGAAGGTTTCATTATATTGGGGTCCCCGCTTGCTTTGATGTCAATACTTTTTCTTTGTCTGTGGACATACCGTCTCTCCGTTTGCCCGCAAGTGTTGCTCACTGCGTGCGCTTTGGCTGTGCTTGCAGGTTCTCAAGCCGCTCAGTGAACATTACATGGAAGACAACGTGCGGCAGACGGTGGTGAACTCGCTCAAAGCCGGCCTGACCGAACCCGGCGGCAGCGGTGGTGGCGGCAGCGGCGGCGGCTCCTCTTCACTGGCCTCCACCTCCACCTTCCCCTCCTCCTCTTCTTCTTCACAGCAGCAGCAACAAAACGCCAAGTTAAAGACGCACTGATGCACTTCCCTCATCACCATCACTCTTCCTCATGTGCTTACAACTGCGAGGAGTCCATCAACACCAAAGCTTGCAGTGGCCTTTTGCCAAAAAAAAAACCCCAAATCATCCTCGAAAATGGACGCCAACACATTGCCTTGAAAGCACAACTATTCCCAACCAGGTCTTTTAGAAACAACATGGAAGGCAAATGCAAGCATTGTGAGAAGCTGCTGACTACGTTAAGATGCGTCTGTAACCTCGTGCCATTGTCATCGATAGAAACTGTAAGGGCCAGTCAGCCATTGAGTTTGGTGGAGTTGCGAGCCAGGCACTTTGACGTGGTTTGTGGTCCTCTTCTGCGTGGCGCTCACATGAGCTAAGGTCGAAGCATTTGGACTTGTGCCTGGAAACACTTCATTTGCTCCCTGACTGACATTTTGACAATAAAGACAATTAAGTGACGTTAAGCTAGTTTAAGGCTTTAGCTGGCTCTTATCTTACAGCCCCGCCCCCTACTTTAAATTACTCTCAGGCTGACATTTAGATGTTTAAAAAAAAAAAAAGTGAAATTGGAGCAAGTTTAAGGCTTTAGATTGCAGGCTAAGTTGTATTTTTCCCCAGGCTTGAATCTGCTTAATTTCTCATACTTTTTGTCCGTCGCATATTTAACAATCCAACCTTCTCGTAGGCTCCCACGCTGACGTTTCGACGAGTTAAAGCCAAGGCACAGCGAGAGTTTCACGATTTCGCTTCATAGGCTTAAGAAATGCTCCAGCAAATTTGCCTTACTTTTTTTCACGGTAAGCTAAAGGTTGAATATCTGCTTCATTCACACTAATTCATGTCAAAACGATTCCAAACTTAACTACACCCTGGTTTATTTTTTCACAAGTACTTAATTTGACACGGACAAAAAAAAAAAAAAACCGATAAGACGCAGATAGAGCAAGTGGAAGGCTTTGGCAAGATGTTGGTGTAGCTTGCTCCTTGTCTGTGCTTTTCGAAAGGCATTCGCCGCTTGCCTGCGCCGCTCCCTCGAGAGAAAACCGCAGGTGACTCGGTCAGTTTTCTCCAACAATGGTTCGTAATGTGGTTAAAACTCGAGTATGACTCCAAATGTGACTTCTGCCCTTTGACGGTCGCACTCCTTCGATTCTCAGGAGCCAACAAGCGAGTAGCAGCATCATTGAATCACCTCAAGCGCCAGGGTTTTGTTACACACTCAGCTTGCATGTTAGAAATGTAATTTAAATCAACTTTGAATACGTTTTGTAGCGAATTAAGATTGTTTTGGTTTGGCTTCATTTACCTGTCCGGTGTCGTTTTGCTGCTGTACAAGTGTTTAGACGAGGACGCCATAAAATGTGATTGATTGAATGAGGCGGAAGTGTGATTCCTGTCCACATTAAAAAAAGACAAATCAATCAATGGTAATTTATTTTTGAATAAAGTGTTTACCTTGGGAATTAACCATAAGACCCATTTCGCTTTTTTTTTTAAATAGAGGCGCCGACTTGACGAATTTAGCTGCGGTTCCGGAAATGACCGTGTAGGGGAGCCAAAGCTTTAAAAATCCTCGAATCGGCGAACCCGCGGACTCCCTTCCGCTACACTGGCGCTTACAACCTTTTTCCTTTTTATCCATGTTCTGCAACCACTGGCAGAGGTTCTCAATGTCTCTGAAAAATAAACTTGGCGAGTTTGTAAAAAATTACGTAAACACTGGATGAGAAACGGCAGCAGGGTCGTTCGAACCAAGTGGCACTTGGCATATCAAACGGACTTGGTTTGGGCAGACAAATTCGCATTCAATCTCGTTCGAATGGAGATGAACATTTCAAAGGGGGGTAAAAAGGAGTACAATCACAGAGCAAGGTTATGATATGAAAACAAATCATTTGAAAAGTCATGACAGTAAAGCTGTGATATGGAGCGGATTCAGTTTTATTTTTACATTTGAGGACAAATATGAAACGTCCATTTTTTAACAAGAACATGCTTCACAATATAAGTCGGGCCAGTCATTACTTTAAAAAACTGGAAAAGATTTGCGTTCTACAATACAGCTATTTTATAGATATTGTAAGGTGTAAATGCCTTTTGTTCAGTTCATAATTGGAAAGAAAAAAAAAGGTTTTCTTCATGGGGGGAGGGGGAAGTCCATTGAAATGTTTTTAATTAACATTGAAAATTTAAATCACACTTTCTACCAAAAAAATAAATAAAATCATTCCAGTACATGAAAAGTCCATTTTTTTACTACACAGTGAAACTCCTCCACAACGAAACCTGCATGGGCGAAAATACCCTGTGTGACAAAATTTTTATGCATGAAAGCCATTCCAACTTTTCTGCTCCCCCGACAACGAAAAGTCCCCCTGTTCCGTTATACGAAATCTTTTTCTCTCCTCTTGCCTCGCAACGAGATTGACTACATTTCTTTCCCTTTTTAACTTTCTATGCTGGCTATCTGAAGTGTCAACTAAGTGTATGCTCATACTTATGCACTATTGGAATAAAAAAAGTACACATATACGTTTTTTGTGTGTGTTCGTGTGTACGCCTGAGATAAAATTTGCTACAGTGCAAAGTCCCCTGTTGTGAAAAATGTCTTGCTGCAAACATGATTTCGTTGTAGAGGAGTTTCACTGTACAGCTAAAATTTTTAGTTGACATCTTTCGTATAATGTTCCAATTCTTTTAATCAGGTTATAAGCTTCTCAAAAAGCATTAATAGGGGGTAACACCTAATTTGGTGACAAAATGTTAAATTAAACAAAACTTTGTAAAGGTTTAATGATGAAACTAATCTTCCAAAATTAAAACCTTCCCTGTCACTGTACAAGTTTCTAAGAAAATAGTCAGCATCTTACAAGGATTGTACAGAATAAATGGCGAAAAAAAATTGGAATACAAGCCAGTCTCAAAGACTAAAATATGTTCCATTTTTACACTGCAGTTGTCAAGGTAGCTTTTTGTAATACGGTACTACAAGAATCTTGAGAAAATAGCTCGAGTGCATGAACACATTTGTGATCAAATAAAACATTTTTTTCCCCCAGCCCACACACTAAATTTAGGACAAACAAGTCCTTTCACCACCTCGTAAGACTCTTCTGTCAAAGTACTGAGAATGAGCACGCATGCTAAAACAGGGAGAAGCGTCTGCTTTGCCCAAATTGTATATAAATATAAAAAAATGTATGTACACAACCAGATCATAATTTAAGAATTACTGCTTGTTTTTTTTCCACACAACATAGCTGTAATTTCATGGGAATCCATGTTGCTTGTAATATGACATCTCAGAATTCAAATGATTTTTTTTTTCCCCTCAGAATATGACCAATTCATTCACATAACATCTTCCTACTTCATTCTCATGCAATTGAACTTTTTTGTTACTGTGAGGCTGACAAATATTTGGATTCTCTTGGGTGTGGCCTTAATTCATATCTTTGGACAAGTTCTGGTGCAAACAAATCTAAAACGCGAAGATAGGGCAAAGATGACCAAATCTGAAAAGAGCCTCGTTCATAAAAACGTGTCAACTAAGTTCGAAAAGAAGCCCTTCCCATACCAAACGCTCAGTCAGTCACCAGTCCCAATTAGAAAAAAAATGTCGTCGATGGTTACCGACTTTGCATGCCGGGAACCAACCAGTCAGCTCAATGGTGTCAGTCTTTTGTTTTGTTTTGTTTGTTTCAAAAGCTTATGTGGTCGCCACGGTGGGGGGTCAGCTCAATGGTGTCAGTCTTTTTGTTTTGTTTTTGTTTTGTTTCAAAAGCTTATGTGGTCGCCACGGTGGGGCTCTGTCTCTCCACAGAGGCGTTCGCCCAAGATAAGAGCGCGCGGCCTTTTCAGTCCGTGGTGGCGGCGGCCATTTTAGATGATGGCGCGGAAGGCAAAGGAGATGGCGGCCCCCAGCGCCAGGCCCAGGGACAGGAAGAAGGCCATGACGGCCCCCGCCGTCTCCGCCTCGTGCTGCGACACTTTCCTGCACACGTGCACACAATAGCCACTTCAGATTCACGTCATTAGAGAAGGACAACACAACATTGGTCGACGCTGTACTTCAAAATGCGCGCAGCTCAAAATGTGCGGTCGCAGGCAACCGCAACGTGATGCATGGCAACTTTTCTCGGAGTAACTTTTCCACCGTTTCCAAATTTGCACTCGTTTTCCCTCTAGCACATCAGGTTTTCATATTCATCATGATATCACGAGATGCGGTCTCGTAATAGATGAAGTCCTATTGATTAATTAGGGGGTTGTGTTCAGCAGCGGGTGGATTATTTTTTTATTTATTTTCCTGAAACCTCAGCAATAAATTATAACGCGTGATAAAATCCGAACAAGCATTTACAGGGCAACCCCCCGGAAAAAAAAAAAAATCTCTAAACGTTGATGTGCTAAAGCGATGGGAGAATAGAATAGACACACACAATGTTATCATGTTGAAAAGTGACCTCGAACGCGTGTGTTTATACAGCTCGTACCCAATGGAGCACAGAGAATCGGGGGCCAATTTGAGGTGAATGGAGCCAAGGCGCTCGTTAACTGATAATACAGGAAGAAAGATTCAACTTCTGGCGGACAGGATACGCTCCGGCATGATCAGATGTCCTTGAGCAAAGTTACAGATGTCTCCGTTTACAAAAAGGCTACTCATTAAAACGGCAAAGTCGCTGGTGATTATGGATGTTGGTGCTTGGCAAGTCTCTTGGCCTCCGGGTGTCCACTGGGGACCGGGAAGGTAAATGAAGTGTTTTTCTGATATGTGACTTGCAATTTTTCATAAAGTGTCAATAAAGGCCAGCAAGAGCTGCGAGGTTTCAGGTTTCGCTTTGAGAAGCGAGCATGAGTTAGCGCGGCTTCAAACAATCGTGCCTCCTGCCTGGCAGTCAAAGACGAGCTCTTCCCGGGTCGAGTCTCTGTTCAACTGTCCGAGTGAGCATCTCCAACATGACTCAAGTCAAGTACGTCAAAATTTGTCTTGCAGCGAGACAAAAGGGAGACCTTTTGTTTTTTTTATTAATTGGCATCAAAAATACCTTGAGGGACACGTAACCATCTTTTCAAATTTGCTATTGATCAGTGTAATTATGGTAAGAACGCAAGATGAAAACAGATGAACCAACAGTTAAGTGTGGCCTTTTTTTTTTTTCACTGCCACAGTCGTCGATGTGTCCGCTGCCCCCTTGTAAATTTGCGCAGCGTTTTACTCACTTGGGTCCGAAGCACATGCAGAGGCTGGCCAGGTAGCCGTTGGAGAAGGCGAAGACGATCATGAAGACCACGTACCAGGCGTCGTGCGAGAAGAGCACGGGCAGGTAGTGGCGGGGCTGCACATTACACAGCATGAAGAGCGGCACAAACACCAGCCGCGCCGCCACCAGAGCGGGGAGCCAACGGCTGTCCTTGCCGGGCTAACGGATCCCAAAAAAAGAAAACGTGCATGCCAATTATTTTATACATTTTGAACGCAATTCAATTTTTGAATAAACGGTGATGAAGTACCAATCAACATGTCCCCCCCCCATATTCTTATTCGAATTGTTTGATGCGAATCGAATACTGACCCACATGCAGACGGCTGTCAGGCTGCGGCCAGCCCAGTCCATCACGTTGAAGAGGAGGAAACACGACACAGGGATGAAATACGTATCTGAAAAGACATGCTGGTTTACATGGGCGGCGGACACAAAATGGCGACCGGATCACATCGCAGTACTTCGGTTCACGATCGCTCCTTTTCAGAGTCAAGGCTTTGCTTTGGGTGACGCTTGAACTCATTGGATGCCGAGAATGACTGAAACAAGGCTTCGGAATCAAAGCGCTCGGTGCCGAGGTCGAGTTATGTCGTTCGATGCCTTTTTTTTTTTTTTTTTTGCTGGGCGTGGATACGGCCCGACATCGGGCCGATGCGCTGGCCCTGAAATTGGCGAGCACCTTAAGGAGTGAGTGGCAATGAGCCGAGCCGCCAGCAGAGGGAGGCGGCGTAACACGCGTCACATCCGCGCTCCTCCCTGCTGGCAAACCGTTTCCGGTGCGGCGGCGTGCCACAATCCACACTTTCGGAGTCGAGTCATACGTTTGAAAAAGGAACATTGACGCAAGCGTATCACAGGCATATATGGCGCGTGTGCGTCTCATTCGTGAAAAAAGGACAAGGCTCGTCATCACGTGGCTGAAGGAGCCTCTGATCAGTTGCCGTCACGGAGGACATTCAAAGCCAGTCCGAAAGGTTGAATTTGAGCTTCTCACACACACACACACACACACATAAAAATCACTGTACAGATGTTGGAGGTGTCGCCAAAGTAAAACATATTTACTTCAAAAAAAGTCACAGTTAAGCTTATATTTTTTTTTCTGGTGAATGAAGACAGCCACTCGTTTCATGTGGTAGATCCGATGTGTTTAAAAATGAATAAGAGTAATAATAACTGATGAATTTGTCAGCTTTGAAAAACGTGCCCCAACGCTCCACAATGGCAGGCCCTCGAGGGTCGCGATCGGCGCTAATGGCCGGCGGGCATCCCATGACTTCAAAGCGGAACGTGACGTCAAGTCGCAATCTTCTTTTTGGGAGATGAAGACTCTTCACACTTATGCGAGAGATCCAGAACGTCGGCGAGAAGACGGGCCAAGCAATTCACGGTCGCATACCTGTCAACCTCGGCGAATAGCCGCCCTTAGAAATGATGACGATTCCCCTTACAAAGCAACAAAAACCCGTACAACGGTTTACCGCGCATGTGCACATCGCGCTTTATCAATCCAACAAGGTTGAATTTGAGCTTCTCACACACACACACGCATAAAAATCACTTTCCAGATGTTGGAGGTGTCGCCAAAGTAAAACATATTGACTTCAAAAAAGTCACAGTTAAACTTATATTTTTTTTTCTGGTGAATGAAGACAGCCAATCGTTTCATGCGGTAGATCCGATGTGTTTACAAATGAATAAGAGTAATAATAACTGATGAATTTGTCAGCTTTGAAAAACGTGCCCCAATGCTCCACAATGGCGGGGCCCCCACGGGCGCGGTAATGGCCGGCCGGCATCCCATGACTTCGAAGCGGAACGTGACGTCAAGTCGCAATCTTCTTTTTGGGAGATGAAGACTCTTCACACTTATGCGAGAGATCCAGAACGTCGGCGAGAAGACGGGCCAAGCAATTCACGGTCGCATACCTGTCAACCTCGGCGAATAGCCGCCCTTAGAAATGATGACGATTCCCCTTACAAAGCAACAAAAACCCGTACAACGGTTTACCGCGCATGTGCACATCGCGCTTTATCAATCCAACCCGACCGTATGCAGCGATGACAAAAAAATGACGATTGAGGATGACTTTTTCTGGTTTGCCGTGACAATGGTAGCGATCGACCACGGCATTGTCGTTGGCTACCAGCAGGTGAGGACGTTCTGGATTCGAGCCAAAATGGTCTTTGTGAGATCGCTTCACAATTGTTTTGTTTTTTTTTTCCCCATATAAAAGTTGTAATACACTGTACATGGTTTGAAATGCTAAAAAAAAACATCTAAAATACGGGGAAAACGTACAAGTTGACAGGGATGCGGTCGGCGCCGGTACGACAGCAGATCCGGACTCACCCCAATCGCCCTCGTCGGCCAACGTGGACTTGACCTCGACGGTGACGGCCGGAAAGGTCCCGATGGTGACGGTGAAGATGAAGCACACGGACAGAGCCGTCACCCGGATCTTCGGCCACAACAAAAGAGATTTAGCAATTGAAGGCTCTCTCTCGCTCAAGCGTCATCCCCTCGTCATTAAAAGACGGACGGGTCACACTTTGGACATCGAGCCCCGGAGCCCATGTCTGGAATACATTGACAAAGACAAAGGGGAGAAGTGCGCCCACTTTTGCCGCAATCCACGTGGGCTGCTGGGGTTTTTGTTTTGTTTTTTTAATTTTGATTTCCTTTCATTATTTCGTTCAGTACCTCGGCAATTTTCACCCCCGCAAAGACGGACGGGGGCATTTCTGTCAAACAATGCCATTTCTCTTTTTTTTTTTTTTTTTACCTTGCGGAATATTTTGAGCACAGACACGCCCGCTCCGCCGCGGTCTTCCGTCGGACTGGCCACAGGGAACCTCTCGGCATTTTCTGCGGCACAAGCGAACGCCTCGCTCGCATGAATACGCACGGGCAGGCAAGCCGGCGGGCGGGCGGGCGCGTACCTTGTTTGAGAAGGTCCATCCTGTTCTCGTCGTCGCCGGCCGACCCGGATGCGCCGCTCTCCACGTAGTGACGGAAAAACTCCTGACGGCGACCACAACAACGGCGGCTAGAACGGCGCATTCCGGGGAGCCGAGGGGGGGGGAAAGAGAGAGCGCGAGGGAATGGAGAGCGCTTACCATCCTGGGCAGAACGAGGTAGGAGATGATGGCGACGAGAATAACGAAGCAGGCCGTGATGAAGTAGCCGAAGGCGCTGTCCCGCAGGGCCGAGCCGGCTGCAAAAAGATGACAATCGATCACGATCCGCCGCCCCGAGCGGACGGGGCGGGGAGGTGGCGGCAACCGGCCCTTCTTTCTTCGCTTCCCCCCGCGGCCCCGGTTTCGCTCGCTTTCGTGACGCTAACGGCATCGGAACCCCGCAAGTGATTTTGCTTGACCTTCAAACGCGCTCCCAATCCTCCGCGGCGTCGTGCGACGGGCGCTCGCTTTTGTGCGCTCCGATGCGGTTTGTGGCGTCGTCTGCTCTTGAGCGGCGTTTTGAGTCGAGCGCCGTTTGCCGCGGCGCGTCTGGGCGGAGGCCCGTCGCAAACCGATCTTTTCGGCTTGCGAAGGATTCCATATCCGTGATTTGGAATCGGGGTTTGAAACGATCAACGATAGTTTTGAGCCACGCGTTTGTGTGTCGACACAAAAACGGGGGACGGTTGACCTCTTCCACCCCCCCAAGCCCCCGTTCGGCGGCGGCGCGTCGTCGGTGGTCTTTTGCCGGGCGTCGTACAGGCCAGGGCGCAGATCATGGAGAAGGCGGCGAAGGTCCCGGCGAGGCCCTGGCCGCTCATGATGGGCGTGGTGTAGGAGGCGGGCAGGATCCCCGCCAGTCCGAACAGGCTGCCCTGCAGAACCGCCCCGAACGCTGCGGAGGAGACATGGAGAGAGAGCGTCCGCGTTGGGAGTCATCGAACGCAGCAGACGCCGGCCGGGTAAGAAGTGGACCTCGACCTTGCACGCGGAGAGGAACCACTGTTGCGCCAACGAGAGAATTCACACCTGAGGCGGCCGGTTCGAACCGCGGCCATCGCGACCGTGTCGACGAGGAAGATGCCAAAGCCGAACGAGGTTCTAAGTGGTTCTCAGTGCGTACCCGAGGTAGAAAAGCGCCAGACCGTTCGTTCGCCATTTCCATGCTTCAATGCTAAATGCCATCTCGGCAGGAAATTGTTGACATCAAAGCCCGAAGGCCACGGCCTCCTCCTCCTCCTCCTCCTCGTCTAAATCAAACTTGGCGGAGCTGCGGCTTCACCCCCAGGCCCCTTCTCACAAACAAGCACGCGGCGTGAGATTGCACACGGTGCAAGGAAGCCAGTGATGCTGAGCTGGTTGTTTTCGCAGGGCCTCGGAGCACGTGGAAAGCCTCCCCTCCCCTCCCGTGCGACGTGGACAAATAAAGAGAGAAAACGCTCTCACGGGTCACTATTTTTAGGGAAGTTGGACAGTTTCATTTCCCGCGCTGCAGTCAAGTCGGTTTTCCAATAAGAATCGAGGAGACGAAAGCGCGTCGCCGCGCGCAACCTAAACGGCGACCGAGCGAGATCATCGGGCCGCCGTTTCCGGTGGGCGCCCTCCAACTTGACGCGGCGGCCGCTCACAGTTGATGAAGATGATCTTGATCATGGTGAGGGCGAAGAAGGGCAGCGGGGCCACCTCCACCTTCACCAGCAACGCAGTCAGCAGGAAGACCACCAGGATGACCGCCAGGCTGCCCGAGATGCGCAGCTTCTGAGGGATCCTGCGCCACAATGAAAAAAAAAATAGAACTAAGTGACAAACATTTCAACGGCCGGCTACACTATAGCGTGGAAGAGGAGTCGCTGTGAACACAAATAACATTCAGGGGGGGTTGGGTCCAGGAACAAGTCCAGAGCTCCAAAATGAAAGCAAACATTCCGTACACACACGCATCGCGTCACCTAACGTGGCGGTGGGGGCTATATGGGGGCTGGGGGGGGGGACTGTGAATAGAACACATCTCTCTCTCTCAATACACACACGATTGTCATGACTAAAAGTGTATCTTATTGCTGAAGCCAGAGGTGTCCAACTCAAGGCCCGGGGGCCGGCCACGTCCGGCCCACCACATCCTTGTTTTCGAAAAGCAAATCGTGTGTATCAACGACCCTCAATGAGCCTTGCTAAAAGCTGCGCCAAAATTCCGAACTGCTCGAATGTTTTCCATTTTTATTTTGTAAAACGCCCGTCGCGACATATTGCTTTTTCAATTTCGAATATTTTTAGGGATTCATTGACGAGTCAATCAAGGAAATTCTGAAAATCATCGTGATACACATAAAGCAAATTGAAAATCAATCAATCAATAAAAGATCATTTCTCAAAAACGTTTAGCCGGGTCCCGACCCTCCCAGCGTTTTTGAAATGGTGGCGATTCGTCAAGATGCGTTTATTTGAGTTATCAAGACCATTTCCTGGCGGGTGGAGGGCGAGGAGCAGACGGGCGACTCCGATATGAGATCGGCGCATCCTAATCCGCGGCCTGGGCGAGAACTCGCCGGGGCCGGTTCTCGCCGCCGACGGCGATCGCAAAAGCGAATGCGCGCGGCCTACTGCGTCGAAAGCGATGCTGAAGGCGACCCGAGACTCGGCGCAAGCGACTTACCTCTGGTGGATGAAGGAGTTGAGGCAGGTAAAGACGAGCAAGGGCACCATGGCGCACAAGGTCATCACGTTGTTGAACTTGGACTCCAGGACGTTGCGGGCGTCGCCGCCGTCCAGCGTGCCGTTGGCCGTCCGGTTGACGGAGCGCTCGCTTGGCGGGTCCTTCAGCCTGCTGGTGAAGTACTGGCGAGACGCAGATACGATACTTTTGTCAAACGGAAATTCCCTCATCCCCCCCAAAGTCGGGACCTCTCCCGCCGTGCATAAATCTTGAGATAAGAGTTCCTTCCTCAGGGGGATGTGACGGGCTCCCGAGGCGGCGGGGGGGAGACGCAAAAGAACACACTCGGGCGCCGTTAACTCATTCACTCCCAACGACGTATTTCGATGTCTTTTCAGACGCCACGAATTTAATCCCAGCTCCTCATTTTCGATTGCCTGGACTTGAAAAGGGTCTGAAAATGCCATTTTCGTCTCTGGGAGTGAATGAGTTCATCACTCAAGGGAGAAGAAGATCCAAACTTCACACTCCATCCTTTGTTTTAGGAGTTGAAACAGATGTTCGGGTGGGAGACGGGTACCAGTAGTACGCATAATAGGCTTAAATTCCTCAACAACGGACAGTTGAGTAAACCAACGTTTCCTGGAACGCTTGATCTGTTATCGTGCTCAAAACCTTATTCGAGACAAGGCGAGTTCCCTGGCGCTAACTACGCAACGCTGTCTTGGGTGGGAATCGAGGGGAGGTCAAGTGGAAAGAAAAGCTACCAGGTCTGTTCCTCGTCTCATTTTGGAGCAAATAGCCCTCGTTTGCTGACGCATCGTGTTCTACTCGATTTTGTTCACATACTTGCATGTTCCTAAAGGACAAGTACCATCGTCGGTTCCCACATCAGGAGATTCTGTTATCAGGAAAGATTGGACAACGCGAATAGAATTCCTTACTAGAGAATACTTTTTTTTTTTTTTTTTGCAAAGTACCATGAGTCAGCCATTCAAATGCCCCCGCACACACACACACACACACACACACACACACACACACACACACACACACACACACACACACACACGCATATCAACACACACACACACACACACACACACACACACACACACGCATATCAGCCTCTGACTTTTGGCATACCATGGTGGCGGTCATGAAGAAGTTCCACGGCAGGAGGGTTCCCAAGCCCAGGATGAAGAATATGAGCCACACTGCATTGTACCTGACAAACACAGATGCCATCGTCGGTGTCATCGGGCTTCAAGGAAGCCTACGTTTCCATTTCGAAGAGCATTTCAAGTCCCGTTTCGTCTTATTTGTAAAAACGGAATTGCCAAAGCGTCGAAAAGGCGGCGCGGTTCAAAGAATCGAGGCTGTTGGCTTACTTGTCTCTGGGGGAGTTCACGGCGGTCATGGTGGTCGTTTGTGGTCTGCAACGCGCCCGACGAGTTGGCGGTTTCGATCAAGACGGCGCAGGGGCTCTGAAAAACAAAGATAAGGCTCAACGCGCGGCGGCAAACGTCCCAAACGCTTTGGCCGCTGATGATAAAGAGATGTGAAGGTGAATATTTGAGCCGGACAACTCACTGGCCAAAGTTCAAAGCGGACCCGGACAGAATAAACACAATGCGGTGTTTTGACTGGCTCGATCAAAGAAATGCCGGCACGTGGCAAACTTACGCAATTACTGCAGTTGATGAGCATGCATGCAGAACCGCGTCAAAAGTCCTCATGTGGAGGGGAAAAAAAAAGACGGCAAAGCAAGAGGTCTCCTAAAGTGCGCACCGTAGCGCAAAGTGGCGGTGACGCTTTGTCCTCAAAATGTACACCCGCCACTGCCTCTCTCTCTCTCTTTTGGTCCCCGGACACACCCTTCTCTCTATCTTCTTTGACCTGCCTCCTCCACTAAATCCTCCCGACTCCTTTTGACGTGCCCAACAACATTCGAGCGGTCGTCAGATTGGAGCTTGTTTCCTCACCGCCTCCCTTTTCAATTCGTCCCTCCGTGAAGCGGCGCATTTTCACGCTGATGTGCCGCCTCGCCACGTAAGCATGCGACGCAGCTCCGCTTCGACCAGGACGGTCGATACGAAACGCTCTCGGTGATACGAATTTGAATTCCACCAATTGAAGCGGGTACCCTGCTCTTGTCCACTTCAATCTGTGAACATATTAAACGCCATCATCACATTTTGGATTTATTGACATCAAACGTCGGGTCCTCTGAGCAAAAACCACCAGCGCCTCGACAAAATCAAAAATATCATAGAAACGCGCATGACAAATTTGGGCAGCGACCGCTCGTAGTTTCCGGACCTTGAGCAAAGTTATAGTTTTGTCCGACTCCATAGCGGCAGGCAGTCGCGGAGAGCTGAACACATTCAAACGGAAGTCGGCTTCTTAGTGGGCCAATCGCGGAAAGGCTTCTCAGATGAAACCAAATAATCAAGTTTGTTTGACTTGACTTTTTGGGGGGGGGGGGGGTCGGTGATATCTTCCCAAAAAAAGCCACTCGCATTTCTGGGAAACCCATTCAAAATTGGAAATTCTTATTGCACTGCACTCAGGGTGAAGTGGCCGCTCCCATTGTGGCAGACTCATTTGGGGGGAAACCTTCTCATGCTGTTACTTGACGTGTGCATGGAACTTGCCCCCCCCCCCTAAAAAAAATCTGATAAAGGCAACAGCATTGATCCCAATCGGCCACTTGGATGTGCAGTGTAAATCCAAAGGCGGAGCATAAATGCGTCTTTGGCTGAGCTGCGGCAGCCATGGTGTCATCAGCTGTTGCTCTTGGGGGAAACAAAGCCACCGTTCGGACTCCTCGTCCTCGCGTCAGTCGGGTGCAGCGCGCTCGACACAAATAGCACGGGCACGTGAGACGTGGCGGCCGGCCAGGAAAGCGCTCGCGTTGCTCTTTATGCGATTCGTATTAGGACACCTTTGCGCAATCTCTTGTTCTTACCGGGTCAAGATAAAGACCGACGAGATTCCCATTTGATGAGGCACTTCCTGCGCTCAACGTTTGCTCTCTTGAGTAATCGTTTTGCAACTTTTCGAGTTTAGGTCAACCCGCATTACTTTCCCATGTGATAAAAAACCAGAGAGAAATGGTATCAAGCCGCATACGCACACGGTTGCCCGCAGGAAACGTAATCTGTCACTGAATCGTCCCCGCGGTGCTTTTGTGTTTTTTTTTTTTTTGGTTTTTTTTTAGGTGTTACATGAAAAATGCAAGTTATCAGCCACAATCATTCATAGCCCGACCCTCCATTTGAACTTGTGACGGCTTTCTGACCTCCACCCAAAGTCAAGATCCAAAACTGAAACGAAAACGTGTGCACACGCCTGCCATAAAGTGTAAGGAGTCTACACATTTGGTTCTCGCACCGGACGTACACATATACAAATGTGTCACTTCACAGCTTTGGCGTGACATGAGAAGACACAGAGATAAGGCAGGTGGAAGATATTGAAATATGACAAGAAACATGAGAAACGCGTTGATAGTTGGCACTTTGTCCGCTCCGTGAATGGCCATTTGGCGACCGGCGTACCCCAATTTCTCCACTTTGTTGTTATGGTAGTCACACATGTGGCCTTTTGAATCTCAGCCATTTCGGGAGAGGTTACGAGAGCGCGATTATTGCCACAAAAATGAGAACTCATGTGCCTGATGGGAATCAACAAAATGGCAAGTGACCTACCCCTCAGACTGCCATTTTGGGGCCCGCGTACCCCACTTTCGACACAGTTGGTGTCACCGGAGTGGTAGACTTGTCCAAATTTGTCACTTTGAGACTTTTAGAGACGCAGTCATTTCCACACAAATGTTAAGACGTTTGATTCGTTGAAGAAAAATGATCAACGTGGTTGGTAATCAAGGAAATGGCAAGTGATGGCAGACATCAACAGCCATTTTGGGGCAGGCCGACCTCAGTTTCTGCACTTTGGCTGTCATCGGAGTGCCACCGCGACACCTGTCCGCATGTGGCACTTTCAAGTGACAAACGGGCCCATTCGCTCAAGAACATTCAACCCGCCGTCATCATCATGGCGCCACTTGGACCCCACTTCCAACCGCTCGGTGGTATCACGCACACGCGCAAACTCACGCGCACGTGTACGCACACACCACGAGGCAACTAGCAATTAGCCAGGAGCGTGAAGCACACGCGCCGCTCGGCGCTAAATTTAATTCGCCGCAAACAAAGGCGGCGTGCGGGCTCGAGTGTCACCCAAACGCCGGTCGACCGCTCGGCACCCTCGTCGTCCTCTCTCCCCTCCTCGATATCCTTTCCCAAACACTGCACCCACGCGACAAGTCCACGCTTTCAACTTGAATCCAATCTTGCCAAATTCATGCGTTAAGAAATGAACGAATGCGCTCATTCGTGTGTAAAACGACGAGTTTTCCGCGGAGAACGCGTTAGGACTTGCCAAAACACTCGAGACTCGTAGCGAGCAACGCACCGGGTGATATCGGCGCGTTTCGTGGGGAAAATGGACAGCTTTCCTACCTCGTCAGTAGACCGCGCGGGCTCTCTCGTAGTTCGCGCGTACTAGCGCCGTGTGTGTCTTCAGCGAAGCAAGCCGAGCTACAACCGCGATGCCTTCAATGACTCATTGGAAAAAGAAGTTCCGTACAGACAAGACGTCACCGTCTCGACCAAAGGCCGTCCCCAGAACCGACAATTCACGAGCGCGTGTTTTATCAAACGTGAATTCCAAATCCTACCGTCTCTAACTACGCGAATTATATTTAAATGAGTACATTTTCAAAGATTAAGAGCACCGAGTTGATAAAAGTCCGATGAAAGCACCGAGTTGATAAAAGTCCGATGAAAGTCCGATTGTCCCCACGCCCCCCAAAAAATCCATCATCACAAGGAGTTTTTCCCGGACACCCGGAAGAACATAAAAGGTCAAATTTAGCACTATTTTTTGTATTCCTATTCTTATTATTCATAATGATTATTATTATTGTCATTTTCCCCCACAATGGCGCCCGAGTAGGCAGCCCTAGGCAAGTGCTCTTCGAGAGCCTTGCTTTTTTTGTTGTTTTTTGTTGGGTTGGTCTTTTGTTTTGTCACATGATGTTTGTTGTTTCGTCGTGTTGACCTGATGTGGACTGTTTTCATTCGTCAAAGAAGAAGAATCTGAGCTTGGCAGTTGCACCTTCTCGGCAGCACGCCTGTACCAGCACAGATTTTGATTGGGAGGAATGTCGGCGCCATTTGACTGTCGGTGCTGGACAGCCCTGGGGTGCTTGTGTTTTTTGCGCCTGTAATGGGCAGCATTTTTAACAGCCCCGTTTTGTTCAGTGGAGATGGCGGCGCTGTTGGACAGTCTTGAGTTGGTGCGGCTGGATGGATGGCTGGCTGCTGAAGTTGAGGATAAGGAGAGAGGAGCGTCGGCGCGGAGCGCAGATGCGTATTTGGAACTGAGAGTCGCCGCTTGGAATTGAAATGGATTCACATGGGACGGGAGAAGTGAACCAATCTCTTTTTTTCGTCAATGGATGCTACAGCTTCTTGTTGACTTTGAAACTTAGCTTGTAGCCGACGTGTGCACATTTTGAGCATGACGTCTCTGATCCACTGGCGAAAGGACACTTGGATTCTCTCGTCTGTCATCTCAAACTGCTTTAAACAACAAAGCCTATGAGGGGGCAAAGTGGTTAGGACTGTCCGTGTTTTATGTTAACTGTTTTGTTAAGCTCTTTGTTACAGCTGCTGCTGTTGTGAAAGCGTTATATAAATGAAGATGCATTGTATTGTATTTGATGAATGGGAACGGTAATGGGTAACTAATTTGGCAAAGGGCCCACATGAAAAACCGGAACGCTTGCAGAGCCCAACATGCCAACGTTCTGATTAGCGCGTCGACCTCACAGTGCAGAGGTCGTGGGTTAGATCCCGGCTCCGGCCTTCCCGTGCGGAGTTTGCATGTTCTCCCCGGGCCCGCGCGGGTTTTCTCCGGGTGCTCCGGTTTCCTCCCGCATTCCAAAAACATGCACGGCAGGCCGATTGAAAATTGTCCCACGGTGTGAGTGTGAGCACCGATGGTTGTTGGTCCCTGTGTGCCCTGCGATTGGCTGGCAACCGGCTCAGGGTGCGCCCCGCCTACTGCCCGAAGACGGCCGGGATAGGCTCCCCCCCGCCGCCCTTGTGAAGATGAAGCGGATCGGAAAATGGATGGATGGGTGTCTCGTTTCAATAAATTCCTATGTGTGCGGGAATACATATTTTAAATGAAATGATAAGAAATGACATCTTCACAATCTAAAAATGATCATTTTGTGCACCAACCGCTAACTCATATTAGCCATTCCTTGTCAGCACAGCCACGTTTCTAGATAAGTGGAAAGTCTCATAAATATGATTGACAGTGATGTGTAATGACACAGGGATGACTACAAAACTAAAATCAAGATAAGATATACTTTCTTTGTCCCACACTGGGGAAATTTACAGTCTACAGCAGCAAGATTGTGGGTAGAAAGAAGAAAAACAAAGTGTTTGCATTCCCAAAGAATACATCAAGAAGTCGCCGGCTGGCATTGGATGCTTGGATTCTGGGGACAAACAAAAGCAAAAAAGAATACATCAAGAAGTCCCTGGCACTGGATGCTTGGATTCTGGGGACAAACAAAAGCAAAACAACAAGAAAAAACGTCCACGGCATTGAATGAGTTAAGGTTTGTTTTCCTGAGTTTCTGTGACTAGTGACACCGGCTTCGCGTTGCATCACGGCACTGGTGTTTTGGAGCGTTTTATTTTTGCGGTCGGGACGAGTGTCCGCCTCCGGCGTTTGCTCATAAACTAAGTCGCGGTGGCGGCGCGCAGACATCCACACCCGGCGCTATAAAAAGCCCGGCTGTGAGTTTTCTTGGACGAGACGCCACCGTTGACGAAAGACTGGCGGCGGCTGGGGCTGGAAAACTGCGGCGGCGCTGCTGTGAGAGCAATAGCACTTTCCAAAACGT